CACTATCTCCACTATCAGCTAACCTACGTTAGCTCAACCTCAGCACAGTTTCGCATCGCCTGTGGTCCGGCATCGCAGTAACCATCGTTACCATTGCCGCGACGCGATCGTCCTGCCAGCAAAGCGTCCCCGTGCCAGCGACAAGTGCTCATTACCCCCTTGTCCCGCGGTGTGACCCGGAAGTGTCTACTTCGGTTAGGCACAAGCATTGGTGACCCCGACGTGATCCTTTAACAACAAAGGATCACACTCAAGCAACCCCCTTCCCACCAAAGGCTGAACCTTTGATTGGATACGCTTCTTCATCCAGTTTCACAGGATACTCATCTTCATCCAGCTTCACAGGATACGCTTCTTCTTCCAGCGTCACAGGAACTCAGCTTAATCCAGCTTCACAGGACTTACAGCTTCATCCAGCTTCACAGGATACTCAGCTTAATCCAGCTTCACAGGACTCACAGCTTCATCCAGCTTCTTTGTTTCAAACACACAATATGTCTACTTCATTCATAGAGGAAACAAGTCACAGAAGAATCGATTTACACAATCGATTACTAGACACCCAAAACGACGCCACCGAGACGGCTATTATTCCGGTAAGCTAAAATAGTTAAACGATCTCTGGCAGCAGTTTTGCGACCTAGATGAAGAAGTCCAGCAAGCGGCTTTACCCACTGGAAGTGAGTATTCTTTACGATTAGTAGCACTTAAGGAGCTGGTCGAAAAATATCAGAATATCTTTCTGGACAACATGCCGACTGGAAGCGGGCTTCCGAAGGCCCCGCGACGAACGTCGGCCAACATCAAGATCACAACAAGAGATCAAGTCAAAGGAGACTCCGCAATTGACACGGTGATCCGACAGTTGCAGAGAAGATGCAACGAATTGGAGTCATCATTAACATTAGCCTCGAACGCCCCAACCGTCACCCCAGCCCTACAAAGGCACCTGGGCGTTGCTGAGGCAAGTTGGACAGCACACCTGGGGCCGCAGCCCTGGCAGAAGCAGAGCTAGCTCAATATATCTACATATTCTACAGAGTTCGCTTCGTGGTGAAGCGAGGAACGTTTTGACAGGCACAGCCTTCTCACAGGGTGGCTATGACGACACCTGGTTGCGTTTGAAGGCCAGGTACAAGAACGGAAAAATACTAGTATTCGCCGCCATAGCAAAAATGATTGACCATAAGCCTAGAGACGGCTCCTCGCGCCAACTAAGGGCCTTACATGACACTATAAAAACTCAATGGGTACTCTTAAAAACCTCGATAGCACAAAATCCTGGGTTCCAATAATGTGTTTTCTTATCAGAAGAAAACTAGACATGCAGTCGCTAACCGCTCTGGAAAATTCAGCGGATGAACCAACGGAAATTCCAACGTTAAGGAGTGTACTGACGTTTATTGAGCGGCGCGCTTGCATGCTGGAGACGATAAGCGCTCAATCTACAGCAACACTCCGCCATTAGTCACTTCACAACGAAGAGAGCTGTAAGATTTGTCACCTAGGACAACATAATCTTAGAGCATGTAGCCGTGTCCAGCAAATGGACCCCAAGGCACGCGCCAAGCCATTATTCAAGTAGGAGCATGCACAAATTGTTTGCCTACAGCTCATAAGGTTGAAAACTGTGGATCACCGACCACTTGTCGAGTCTGCCAGCAACGGCATCATTCACTGTTACACCAAGGACCGACTAGCAATCCAGTGGCCGGCGCAATAACCATTGCAGGCTACGACAATCCAAGAGGATATACTCTGCTCGCGACCGCCAAGGTATCATTACAAGGGCCAACGGGTCACCTACAAACATGTCTCGCTGTAATAGATGGTGGATCACAGGTGAATCTTATCTCAAGGAGGATGGCAGATCTGCTATCTCTTAAGGAAATATCACTGATTGAAATATCTGAATCAGAGGAAAAATATCAACAGCAATTAGATCAAAACTAAAGCTCTCATCATGTACATCAGGGTTTGAAACACTATTAGAGGTATTTATTATGCCCACAGTCATTACAGACCAACCGTCAGTACCGATTGCAACCGATCTTAATATTCCCGAGAGACTGCCATTAGCAGATCCTGACTTTCGGCAACCAGGACCCATTGACCTAACCTTAGGGGTTGAAGTATTTTCTCGTGCAATAGCCGGTGAACTTCTGGAACTAGGACCTAATAGACCGTTGGCCCAAGGCACAAGGCTTGGTTATGTAATTACAGGTTTCCTCGATAAAGAAACCTCATCTGATACGGAAATCAACCCTATTCTGGTAGAAGACAGAGGTGATTTTGCAGGACCGAACGCTGGTTATCAGCCAACGAAAGATAGTAATCCGATGAATAATAATCAATTTGATATAGAAGAAAGCAAACTGCAAAATGAGATTTCACTCGATGAAGAAGGGATTCATTTAATGAACGAAGCGTTGATGGATCATAACATAAAAGAGCCTGAAGATATATGTAGCCAATCAAGAACTACCCACACTGATTCGTCCGATCGAGAATCAACCGATACATATAATGGTTCATTGCAGCTGGCTGAACTTTATACTGCAAGAGAGAAACCAATTAGTATAGAACAGACTTCTCATAAATGTAAAACCTACAAGAAGACTGACTTTTGTTCAATATTTCTAAACTTAACCAAGATTTATCTTAGTTTTGTTGCAGAAGGTTCACATACCATAGACGTGCCAAATGATCAAGTTCTACGAGGGCACAATTTCAGTCTTCACGGTAATGTCAATTTTATCGCAAAGGGGAGTGTTAGGCAGCATCAAGAAGGTATGAATGACCTAAATCACAAACATGAACCGCCGCAGTTGAAGGAAAAATCCTCCTCGGTCAATGATTTGATAGGTGCTTTCAATACAATTCGGCCAAGGGCTGACCGACATCACGCCTTAATTGAGGGTGCCCCTCAATGGGGGGGGAGAATGTTCGTACCCAAAGGTGCTCAACATGACCACACCCGACAAACCATGCAGTAGCCAAGTTGGGAACAGTACCAGGCGCTCAGTAGCACCCACAGCATATGAGGATTGCTGATCAGCATATTATATGTCTCACTGCAGTGTCAGCCGAGCCAACTATACAAACTACTACCATAATCATAATTCTCTGACCTACTTTAGAATATAGCTTATTTCACTAATCATTACACTAAACTTCCGTGTTCCAAGTAGTATATAAGCATGTATCAAATGAAGAATAAATCAGTTATCAACACACATCATAACTCCGCGGTTCTACCTCCTACCTCTGGGAATAGGGCTCGTAATACACTATCTCAACTAGCAGTTCCGCATCGCCTGTGGTCCGGCATCGCAGTAACCATCGTTACCATTGACGCGACGCGATCGTCCTGCCAGCAAAGCGTCCCCGTGTCAGCGACAAGTGCTCATTACCCCCTTGTCCCGCGGTGTGACCCAGAAGTGTCTACTTCGGTTAGGCACAATCGCACAATAAAATGGACCAACAACTCCAGCTTGTGAGGAGTCGTTTGACCCATCACAAATAGCGCCACCAACATCGCCAGCGCCAACAGCATCGGCCGCCAGCGCCAACAACAACGCCAGCTAGCAGCTACAACATCGCCAGCGGCAACAGCATCGGCCGCCAGCGCCAACAACAACAGCGGCTAACAACGCAAACAAAACCCTCGCGAATAACTTTGTAAAAAAAACATTGTACAGTGCATTTAATATATAACTTAGCCAATAATCACAAGATTTGTAGTTATATTGATACACAATATTTATTTTAGCTCAGCCTAAGCGATAGGTTCTGTTTACCTTTTCCCCCTCCGTTCTCACATCAGCAGTAGCCACACACACACACACACCAGGAGAGCAACGAAATATTCACCACGATAAGTGCAGCGCCGCACAGGAGCAAGCGAGAGAGGACATGCGATCGAGGAGGAAAACAACCCCCGAAAATTGGCACGCGCCAAGGGAAGAGCGAGAGAAAAGGAGTACCGAAACTTCGACAAGTGGAAAAAACCCAGAGCAGCCGAAAACTTGAACAAAACGCGGCGGAAAAGCTTGACTAGGGCTCTTTTGAAAAGGCGGTGCACGGGATCAGAAGTGCGAGGAGTCAATTTTGCAAAGGCGGTGCACGGGATAAGAAACAGGTCTCTCTTTTGGAAAACGCAGCGCACCGGACCAGAAGTGCGAGCAGGTGACTTTTGGAAAACGCGGCGCACCGGACCAAAAGTGCGAGAAGCAGGGGACTCTTGCAAAGGCGGCGCACGGGATCAGAAGTGCGAGCAGAGCAAATTTATGTGGACAACAGGAGTCTTTTGCCTTCGGGCTGATGCCAAGTGACCCAGGAAGGAGTTTACCTAGACGACCTCGAGGAGAGTGTGCCGGCCCAGGACCAGCGACCCAACTTTAGGAAACCTGTTGCTCATTAATTAAATAAAAATATTTCTCAGATATTAAAAATACTACGCACTGCCACACCCCCTTTCCAAAGGAACTTCGGGAAATATTTTTTTTAAAGGAAAACTTATTCTTCCTCTTCTATCACTGCCGGCTGATTGAGCCAACTCGCGCCCGACTACACTGGGTAAACAAAATAAAGTAGAAACTCGAGTTACAAATGAATCAATAAAAATACCCCAATAAATGTATTTCTCGCCTGATTTTAATGCAACTCGTAGGGAAAAAAATTCAATCAAGCTGGCCACGCATAAATATGAATATCTCCAGACAAATGCCTAGATTTTAGGCCATAAATTCTGCCCTAGGGAAAAGTTGTCCCCATAATCGATCCCCTCTCTCTCGGCCCTCTCGTAGCGAATGCTATGAGCCAGGCCCAAATGCGCGTTACCGCTGACGCTTTTCACTGTGCTACAGACACCGAATAAACTGTTTCTCTCACTCCGTACCCCGGTGGCTGGCACTCTACATCTCACGCCAGCCAACCGATTTTCGTCTTAGACCTTTTTGTCCCATATCTTTACAAATATTTTCGGTAGAGACCCTGGCGGGACTGAGTATATCCCAGCCTACGAGACTTCTTTACAGAATGGCGCCCGAACAGGGACATGGGGTTTACGAAATTTTAGACGACCTAAATATGGCCTAAAGACCCATCTGTGTACAGAGAGTTTGAAAATTTTCGGTTCAGTCCCTTAGAAGCGAAATTTTTAAGTCGGAACGTAAGGAAAGTCATACATCGAGGGACACAAAAATTTCTAGGGCAGGAAACAGGGAAATATATATATATTTAAAAATATACCAACGCATCGAACATAACCTCAGAAAAAAAACTTAGAATTTAAGCAGAGCACATGGCATTCGGGAGAACTTATACAAAAGTATACCCACACACAGCGAGAAATTTCTAACGCACGCAGACACACATACATGTATTTCTAAGCAGAGCAAAGTACATAACCTAAAATCAGAGATTCTTTGTTCCAAGCTCACGTGGCCAGCAAATCAAGTGAGGACGAAACACATACAGGCAGATAATCGGAAAGAGAGAGAGAGCGAGAGCCCTCTAGGCTAGCCAACTCAGGTCACGAGAGTTTCGAAAGCACGAGGTAGGGAAAAGCTAACGTATGCTCTCTACAGCGCAGCCATTTTGTTTTTTCGTTTTCACTCTCATCGTCGTCCCTCTCACACGAGGAGGAGTCGATCAAGTACAGGCAACGGGATAAAATCGTTGGGGGCTTCTCATATAACCATCGCCGAGTCAACACGTGCATCGGCAGCTCTCAAAAACATCGTCGTGGAAAAATTTAAAACTACATCGTCGTCGAACAAAATTCAATCACCGTCGAGAAAATTTAGGAATTAAATCGTCGTTTGACATCGGATTGTGGTCACCATCGTTGCACGTGGGAATTCAGTGAATTCTTGGTAACAAATAAAATAAAATTTTCAATGAAGATTTTAACCAGTTCGAACATCGTTTGACCCTCGTCCAAGAATTTCTCTCGTCCTATCGAAACTTTTCCTGTCGTTTGCCAGTTAACTATTATTTCACAGCAATATGGGGGCGCGTTGGATTTCGTATCTCCGGAAGCGGGAATTGGAGGCGATTCTGAAGGACTTTTCCTTGGAAGCAACCGGAACAGTTGAGGAAATGAGGAGCCGGCTGGCTGCTTTTAATAATCGGGACGACCACGTGCTGGAGATAGCCGAGCGGCTACAGGAATGCGAGGCGGAAATTACAGCCGCCCTAACGGATAGGAAGCAGCGTTCACCGACTCCGAACCCACACCCACCGGGTCCAACACAGCTTCAGGTGCCAGCACTGGAAGGCAGAGGTGCCGCCGATGTAGTCGGAGACACGGAGATCCATCCGGTCAAGCGGGAAATTTTTCCCAGGAAATCAGAGATGTCCGCAGCCACGCTAGCGGAAAAGCTGAAGAATTGGGGAATCACTTTTGACGGGACCACGGACCCCATAACCTTCATCCAACACCTCGAGGAACGAGATGCCGCAGGCCATCCCTGGTCTTTTGACGGATACAGCTGAGCACTGGTTTCGGACAAGCCAGCTGCTAGGAAAATCTTGGACGAACTTCAAGAAGGCGTTTCTTGACTTCTTTCTGCCACCCAGGTACTTTCAGCGACTCGAGGATGAGATCCGCACCAGAGATCAGCGACGGGGAGAGACTTTCAAACAATACCTAGTCAACATCAGACTCATGATGCACAGAGCGGGGTATAATGCGGAGCAGGAGTTGGACCGGATTTATGAAAATCTCCAACCGGAGTATCAGATGTACGCAAGGAGGCACGACTTCACCACTTTGGAGCAACTTACCACTTTAGCGGTAAACTACGAGGTCACCCGCGATCGGAGCACAGGAAGCCATGCCAGAATGTTGGCCGAACCACAACCGGCGCCTAGAAGGAACGAGTACGAGATCCCAGCGTATGCAGGAGCATCACCAATAGGTCAACAGAATTTCACACGACCGGCCAGACGACCACCCACCCCAGCCACAGTTTTACAATCAGTTCCTCGAGAGGGGAACAGGTCAATGGTGCCGAATTTCAGTCTTGCTTGCAGGAATTGTGCCCAGGAGGGTCACCGTTCAGCTACATGTCGCCATCCCAGAGTCCTCTTTTGTTGGGATTGTGGTCGCAGAGAAGTACGCACTCTCGAGTGTTGCCGTCGTACCCAGCCGGGAAACGAGAGGAGTCTTCGCCCCCTCGGGTAGCGGACGGAGACTGCCTACAGGAATCCCCGGAATTAGGAGAAATCTTACAGGTTCAGTCGAGCAAAATTATCGCGCAGGTGCAAATCGAGGGTCAGGAGTTTAACGCTACCATAGACACCGGAGCTAGCAGAAGCTTCGTGAGCGAACGAGTTGTTCAACGTGTAGGGACGCCACATTACGTACGGTCGGTACACACTCATGTCAGCCTGGCGGAAGGCTCACGCAAGGAGATAACCAAGTCTCTGGTAGCCAAAGTCCGGTTGGACCAATGTTGGGTCACCTTTCCACTGCTAGTTTTCCCTTCGATCATGGAAGACGTGCTATTGGGCATGGACTTCCTCTGTGGCGTGTCTGCCACTCTCCAATGCGGCAGCGCTTCGCTGCAGCTGAACCCTCTCCTAATAAGCAGCCCCACCAACGACTTAGCTATGCCTTCTCTCTTGACAAACGCGTTCACTCCAGCAAACAACGATCCAGATAACGACGTGCAAACCACCCCGACCAGCAGTATTTTAGGGCCTCGAGACGACACCGCCGTGCGAAATAATCCTTTTCGTCGGAACCATGCTACTGTTTCAGCGGAACCAGTAGAGGAAGGGCGAGCGCCTTCCCCAGTCAGACCAGGATACACGCCTGACACTGGAGGAGCACTAGCCGCAATCACCGCAATCGCCGAGCAAGAAGAATTAGAACCCTGGGTAAACAAATTCCTACAGGAGGAATTGGCCAAATTCGAAGGATTGACGGGAGTGTCAAATATCGCTGAGCATACGATCACGATGCGAGATGATAAGCCCATCAAACAGAGGTATTTTCCTAAGAATCCCGCGATGCAGAGGATTATCGACGAACTGCTTCACGGAGCCCCCACAGCGCCCCTATTGTACTCGTGGGCAAGAAATCGGGAGAGATGCGACTATGTGTAGATTTTCGACAACTAAATGCCCATTCTATTCCAGATGCATACCCGCTGCCAAGGATAACACACATCTTGGAGCGTCTGCGCCATGCCAAGTACATATCGACGCTCGATTTGAAGAGCGGATATTGGCAAAACCCTGTAGCCGAGTCCAGCCGCGAGTGCACAGCATTTACAGTCCCCGGGAGGGGCTTGTACCACTGGAAAGTGATGCCGTTTGGCCTCCACTCAGCACCAGCCACATTCCAGCGGGCGCTCGACAGCGTCATAGGACCGGACATGGAGCCCAACGCGTTTGCGTATTTGGATGGCATCATCATCATCGGCCGCACTCTGGAGGAGCATGTGCAGCATCTACAAGAAGTATTTCGACGGCTACGAAAGGCGAACCTTCGTCTCAACGCGAAGAAATGCAGTTTCTTTAAGCGCAGCCTGGTGTACTTGGGACACGTCATCAGTGAGGAGGGAATTCACACGGATCCCGACAAGATTTCGGCAGTACGGCGACTGAGTCCGCCCACCACATGCAAGGAGTTGAGGAGATGTCTAGGGATCGCGTCATGGTACAGGAGATTTTTACCCAACTTTGCCAGCGTAGTGCAGCCCATGTCTTTGCTACTCAAGAAAGGAAAGAAATGGCAATGGGAGCAGGAGCAGCAAGATGCGTTCGAGGAACTCAAAAGAAAACTCACGGAGGCGCCGGTTCTCGCCTGCCCCGACTTCAACGAGAAGTTCGTGTTGCAAACAGACGCCAGCGACATCGGCCTAGGAGCAGTTTTAACGCAGAAAATCCAGGGAGAAGAACGAGTCATCGCATTCGCCAGCAGACGCCTCATCGCCGCTGAAGATTACCCGGACTACGCGTACGAGAACCAACAGCTCTATCGGCATATCGGATCCCGACCTGACGACGAAGACTCCGTGCCCTGGAAACTGTGCGTAGCCAAGGAACACCGACAGCGAGTACTGTCGGAATGCCATGACCAGCCCACGGCAGGACATCTCGGAATCAGGAAGACAACCACCCGGATCGCCCAGAGATATTACTGGCCAGGTCTTTTCCGCGATATTGCTAGGTATATCCGCAAGTGTGACACTTGCCAACGGTTCAAAGTCAGCCAAACCAAACCGGCGGGTAAAATGTTCACCAGACAGATTAACGAGCCGTTCGATACTGTCTGCGCCGATTTTATTGGGCCCCTTCCGCGATCCAAGAGTGGAAATACGATGCTGCTCGTATTCTTCGACGCCTTTTCGAAATGGGTTGAGTTGGTCCCCTTGAGAAAAGCTACTTCGGCGCATCTCGAAAAATCGTTTCGGGAGAGGATTTTGAATCACTTTGGTATTCCCCGAACATTTGTCTGCGATAATGGGACACAGTTTACGAGTCGTTCATTCAAAGCCTTCTGCAAGCAGGCGGGAATGGAGATCCAACATACAGCACCTTATACTCCGCAGCAGAACCCGACTGAAAGGGCCAATCGCACCATTAAAACGATGGTCGCCCAGTATATCGAGGACAAGCAGACGACGTGGGACGAACTTCTGCCCGAACTGAATCTGGCAATTAATAGCAGCATCTCAGACTCAACCGGATTCAGTCCAGCGTTCATCGTCCAAGGCAGAGAGCCACGACTCCCAGGAGCCTTATATGATGAAGTGACTCCAGGACCAAGCCAAGCGCCACGTTCACCCGAAGCGAAAGCGGAATTGCTACGGGACATTTGAAGGTAGTACAGGAGAACACTCAGAGAGCTTCGTTGGAGCAGCGGAAGCATTACGATCTCAGGCGACGTGCGTGGAGACCGACCATAGGATCGCTGGTCTTCGTAAAACAGCATCATTTGTCCAGGGCAGCGGATAACTTTGCCGCTAAGCTAGCACCCAAGTACGAGGGCCCGTACAAAGTAATTAAGTTCTTTTCTCCCACCATAGTGCGCTTGCAACATACCCAGAGCAGGCAACGCAGAACGGCATCCCTTAGAGATTTAAAGGAGGCAGTCAACGAGCCAGAAACCCAGAATCTGGTACCCAGACGACTGGACGACAACGAAGACATTCAGATGGCGGAGCAAGTTTAGCGATCGATTGACGCTAAAAACCCGTAGCAAAGCAACAGCAAAAGCAGCAGAAAAAGAAACAAGCAAGCAGAGAAACCAAGGAATACCCGCATCAAGGCGGAAGCAGCATAGAAACCAAGGAATACCCGCATCAAGGCGGAAGCAGCAGAGAAACCAAGGAGTACCCGCATCAAGGCGGAAGCAACGGAGAAGCATACACGAAGAAAAGTACACATCAAGACGAGAGCAGCAGAGAAACATCCAAGGATACCCGCAGACGGCGGAAGCATACACGATGATAGTAGCGCAGCAGCAGCGCCAGAAGTCCGTACGAAGACGGCACAATAGCAACGGACTTGCCACAAACAAGCCGGCGAGTGACGCTCGATCTGGCCGAGGCGAGAGCCAACCAGGAACACTGCGACAGGAGCCAATGTTTGAGTCAGTGGGGCCACTTGCTGGAGGGTGCGCCTTCCCAACGTTCCACTTCCCTAGTGGGAACTCAACGCTCCCAGTGCCACTGCAGCGAACCTTTTTCCCCATGATTACTAACTAAACAATTAAAACCCAGTTAGTAATCGTTAAAACAAAGCACTAATACTCATTTGTTCTCCCCTACAGACATGGCGTCGGACAACCCGTCCCACCTGTGGCGCATGACAACACGCAAGCCACGGCCACGCACATTTCTCAACGCCCCCCGAAGTAGGAGGGGAATGTGAGGAGTCGTTTGACCCCTCACAAATAGCGCCACCAACATCGCCAGCGCCAACAGCATCGGCCGCCAGCGCCAACAACAACGCCAGCTAGCAGCTACAACATCGCCAGCGGCAACAGCATCGGCCGCCAGCGCCAACAACAGCGGCTAACAACGCAAACAAAACCCTCGCGAATAACTTTGTAAAAAAAACATTGTACAGTGCATTTAATATATAAGCTTAGCCAATAATCATAAGATTTGTAGTTATATTGATACACAATAATTATTTTAGCTCAGCCTAAGCGATAGGTTCTGTTTACCTTTTCCCCCTCTGTTCTCACATCAGCAGTAGCCACACACACACACACCAGGAGAGCAACGAAATAGTCACCACGATAAGTGCAGCGCCGCACAGGAGCAAGCGAGAGAGGACATGCGATCGAGGAGGAAAACAACCCCCGAAAATTGGCACGCGCCAAGGGAAGAGCGAGAGAAAAGGAGTACCGAAACTTCGACAAGTGGAAAAAACCCAGAGCAGCCGAAAACTTGAACAAAACGCGGCGGAAAAGCTTGACTAGGGCTCTTTTGAAAAGGCGGTGCACGGGATCAGAAGTGCGAGGAGTCAATTTTGCAAAGGCGGTGCACGGGATCAGAAACAGGTCTCTCTTTTGGAAAACGCAGCGCACCGGACCAGAAGTGCGAGCAGGTGACTTTTGGAAAACGCGGCGCACC